AGCCCTTGCTAAAAGCCCCAAGGTCCATGAGCCTTCTGAAGGACTTCTTGCATAATTATGAAAGAAGTCTTAGCCTCCAGCACTCCTGGACAGTGGTGAGGGGCCCTTCAAGGGGGGCTGTCCCCGTATATAGGTGAGGTGCAGGGCCAGGCAGGAAGGGGCCTGCAGCCGTGGGGGGGTTCAGGCCTAGCTCTGCGCTTTCCAGCCACGAGACTGTAGGCCAGGTCCTTCGCCTCTCTGTGCCTCAGTTCTACCAGCTGTGACATGGGGCGCTGTCTGTGACTCCCAGGCTGGGGAGGGTGATGTAAATGCCAGCCATACGCCAGGCCCCTATGACTGCATGTTCCCAGGGGCATGGCCAGGCCGTGGTCTGCAAGAAAAGCTGGGAAGACCCTGGGTGCAAGGCTGGGGGGAACTCTGAGTGGCAGCAAAGCCCGAGGTGCGTGGGGCAGCGTGTGGGAGGCCCCAGGAGGACTGAGCAGCCTCCTCACGGCGCGGGGAGCACTTAGGCGGAGACCACGCTGTCTCCCTGAGCTTCCAGGTTCGGAGACAGGAAGCCAGAGTTTCCTGGCAGGAACTCCATGCCCGGGCAGGCCTGGTGCGTGTTCCTGTCAGCCCAGCCGCGTCTGGGGCCTGGAGTCAGCTTCCCAAGGCCGAGTGGGGATGAGCCGCTCCTAACGGTGCAGTCGGGGAGGCTGGGAGCCACAGGGCTGGCTGAGGTGGGGACACCCTGCCTGCTGCAGGCCCAGGGCTCTGGCCATTGGTCATTCTGCCCCAGGGGTGGGTGGGGGCTGTGCCCAGGACCCTGCCACCCTCCCTGTCACCAGGCCCGATGAGGCCCTGCAGAGAGGAGAGCCAGAGAACTTGGCTCCGTGGGCTAGGGCCTGGCTCCAGAGCTGCTTCCGGCCGTGCTGGCCAAGCTGTCTGGCCAATAAGGAAGTGTGTGTGTGCGTGTGTCCCTGGAATGTGCCGGCCCTGGTCCACACCCGAGGATGGAGGGACCGTGCCCCGTGTCTGCGGTCCTCCTGAGGCAGGACAGCCTGGGAGCCCCCGTGCCCCTCCAGCTGGAGTCCCGGCTGCATCCCCTCCAGCGGGTCCCTGGTCCTGCCTCTACCTGGCACCCTCCTCCTGGTGGCGCCCTCTCCTCCCTCCGCTGGTCTTCCCCCAGTGCCCACGTTCCCGGGCTCCTCCATGGACAGGGCTGTCCTGTCCACCCCTGAGCTGAGGGGCCTGGAGTCGGGGCCTGCTCCGTGAAGTCTGGGGGCTCCAGCCCAGGCCCCTCTGGAGGGCATGAGGAGGTGCAGAGGGCAGCCTGCAGCCCAAGCGCAGTCCTGGGGTGAGCCCACCCTCTGTGGCCCCCTCCCCGTGGCTGAGCATCCCAGCCACCTGGTGCGAGGCAGGGCCAGCTCACGCTCTGCTGGCTGCCCCCCCTCACCCCCCAGGACTGCTGGTCAGTGGCAGTTCTCAAACATTCCCTGCCACACCCCCAACCTGGAACCTGAGAACTCCAACCTGTCCTCTTCCTCATTCCACCCCCACCCACCCCGCCC